CAGATAATTTGGTGTGGGGCTAAAAATGGCAAGGCTAATAACGATTCCGACTATGATGCCTGTGAAACTTTTGGGAATGTACTAAGTCGACGATCCGACTCTAGAAATTGCCATCTAGGTCCTAGTGTCAATATGACCAAGTCGCGAAAAACAGGTCAAACAACTTATATAATGAGTTTGGTCTTTATTTAGTTATTCTATAGAATTAATCGAATTTACAAATCTACATGATGTGCATCAAAGTTCAAGAAATTAATTTCTAGTTATTTTCTTATTTTAAAAGTGCTAGAACATAATTCATTGTCTACCATTCTAATAAGAAGTTTCAAAAAAATCTTATGGAAATTTAATAAATATTTCTTCCATACAAAGAAACTATTTTCTAACCATGATCCATTTAAAGATTTTCTTGCGAAATTTAACAAATTTCTGAAATACACTAATCCAGTTTCGGCTTCGGCTAGTCAAATAAATCTTCATAGTAAAATAGTACAACAATTAAGCAAGCATTAAAAATATCAGTAAATATTTTAAGAGGAATTGGAAGCATGTAAGGTTACTAAATGAATAATAGCTGAGTTAAACATAATCAAATTTGTCTGTATTAAAATGTCCTCCAAAAATATTACTTTATCAAGAGTATATCACATACTCGAATTACCTAAATTGGTTTATTTCCTTAAGTAATGAACTGACAAATCTGTGAGATCATATCCATACTAATTTACTATCATTATAAAATTAAAAAAAGAGAGTAAATTTAGAGCTTACGCAGTTTATTAAGTTTCAAAGATGGCTTACTATCAATCCATGTTATATGTAATTAGTCATGTAATTGCCTGAAATGTGGGCTCAACTTTATACATATTTATTATATTCAAAGGTATGTTTATAAAACTACCATTTGTATAGATTATAGTCATTTACTCATTAAAAATTTGTTATTCAAATTTTTTGCCTTTAATATGATCTTCCTTTAGGAAGGAAGAAGTGATTAGGTTCCACGTAAGCGAATATACATATATATTTTTATGATAAAAGTATAATGTATAAGAAAAATTATCAGAGGAACTTTTGAAAAATAGTTCAGTATACAAAGTGACAGAATTGCTATCAGGACAAATGTGCATATATCATTTTGTGAAACAAAATTTGTAAATTTTATTTATATTTCAATTATATAAGCCTAAAATTCATAACTCTAAGGAAAGCTTGCGATAAATAAAGCTCATAATTTATATTTTATTCATTTAAAGTAGTTAGCAATTAGGAAATATAAATTTGAAATGAAATTTTGAAACAAGTACATTATTAAAAAGTGTAAATATAAATACAATAACTATTTTAGTATTTCATCATACATTTCATATCCTCCTATAAATTCAAATCATTTGCTTTATTTCGTTTCAGTAATATCAAGCTTGTATAGGCGAACATCATGTTTCAGCAATAAATTTCAATAAGTACGACTTATTTCTGATTGATGAACGTCTCATGAAGCTAAAATTGTATGTAATAAAAATTGTTGAAACACATAGAATATTTATTTACGATTTATCACATGGAGGCCTTAATTCTTTTCCTTACTGTTGTCATAACATACTCCAAATTAGCACAGACATTCAATAAAAAAATCTACAAAAAAAATGTGAAATTCATTACCAAAATTAAAGTACAACATTAATGGAAGGAACCAAATTCCATAATTCGATTAGCATAATATTACAACCAAGCGGAAATTTTTGTGCACATTTGAGATATATGAGATGTATTCACCCTATTTCGATCAAGGTGATGAGCTGACATTACCGTTGAATTTCACATAGACTTGCTTTCCCAAAACTTGCTTTCATCCAGAATGTACTGCAGTTTCGACCTCTTATTCGTCTTATCAATACCCCCAGCGGGAGTCGAAACGTGACAATGCAGAATGTGAGCTAAACACGTTAACCACTCAGCCACATTGTCACGGATGTACTTGGGTCACAGAGCAGATGCAAATTTTGAGGAACTCCAAACTTTGCTTATATACACTTGAGATATAGTTACAATTCAACTAAAAATTTAGGAGATAGCATTTTGAAAAATGGTGGAAATGAAAGACCATTTGCCATAAAATCCATATTTTTATATATTTTATATGAAATAGATAAAAGTACATTTCTCTAAATTTTTGTATGCACCTTTTCAAATTGATAAATTACATTTTAAATCTGCCTTCTTAGCTAGATTATTCTTAAAATTAAGTACACATTTCTGAAGTATGAAGAGCTCCAGGCATAAATTCCTCATCTGAATATATACAACATTAAAATATTGACAAATTTAATCACTAAATTTGGTTTGGAAATTATTTCATGAAATTTAAATATACTAGATCAGTTATGCTTAGGCTAAATTAGATTCACAGATTTTCTAAAGAGGTTTAAGAGAATAGATATATTAACTGCTTAGTTTTGGAAGTCTTTTTCCGAATTTATATGTTTATTATGAATATGAGTGATCGCCAAAGAATTTTGGATTGATTAATATATTTGCATTACGAGAAGTCTATTAACTGACTTTAAATAATCCTATTTCTAAAATACTATATTTTCTCTAAGATGAAATTGTGCTAATATAATATGTTTATATTCATATTATTATTTATTCAATTCTATCTGACATTTTCCATACCTTAGGCTAAAATTGAGCCAAATAATCCACCCCTAACACATCTAATATTCGAAAAGAATTTAAAATTGCTTCAAAGAATTTGAATAGTCTCTTTTACACTTATTGTGTATTCACATACAAAGCACAAAGTTAAATCTTTGGTATGATTATAATATTCCCGAAAAAACTCGTGTGGTAAACAATTTAATGACCCCTAAGTCCAAGAGACAGCACATTGTAATTATTTACTGTAGGGAGGCACCCTGCTAATTTGTGCCGATCTACGTAAAGATAAGGAGCCATGTTGTTTATTAATATAAAACTTTCTTATATTGACACCACCCTTTCTTTCTAGAGAACGATAGATCAGGCATAAGTAATCCTAGATTTAAGTGCTTTACCAGTTGCATACATACAATTGTTACCCTTAGTTGCTCTAGGCAGTGCTATCAGAAAACGATAGGTCTTTTGTTAATATATATTATATACAGTCTCTGACGAGTGGCCGGCCATCTACCACTGACGCACCTATTTGCAACTATATGGACATGGTTATACAGTATAGAGGCTCCACATGAAAATACTAGTTTATAGCTGCCATATTTAGATAATAGGCAAGATATTTATCTAAGAGTTGAAAGTTAAGGATCAAATGTGTAGGTTATTCATTCCACGATTCGTGAAACATAATATGTTCATTCTCGTATTACTTTATAATTCAGCTATTCAAACTTAATTATATTTTGATTTTTGGACATCTGACAGAAGGTTATATTTAGATAAAAAATCGGGGTTCATAAAATATATAATGTTTGATTATAACAAGTTGTATCAAGCTCAGCATATTTTGTTTACAAGGTAGTAATGGAATAACTATTGTTCAAAAGACATTGAGAGATGCACGCAAGAGTTTATTGTAAAAATTTAATCAAAATTAATAGCTTATCTGATTTCTATGAAATGAGGCTAAAATATTCATAAATAAATAAATATTTTAGTATCTGCATTTCAATTATCTCTTATTAAATTGCAGGTATAATATCAAGTATATATGAGAATTATTCATACCATTTCGTTTAAGGTGACGAAAAAACAATACTTAAATTTTTCCCATAATGATATTAGTAAGCTTTACGCTTTAATTTAATTTCACATAGCCATGCTTATTAAAAGGTATTTTCATCCAGACAATGGCGCACTGCGTTTTTGACCTCACCTAAGAGCCGTCAGCGCCTTTAGTGGTACTAGAGCCTTGATAGTAAAGTGAATAATCTCGACATGTTAACCACTATGCCACACTACCACAAGGGCTCTTGGGTCACAGGAAAGATATAAAGTTGAGGGAAGGCCATGCGTTTTCCAATATCATATTCTCTAGTGAGATTATGGATAAGGCATAGTTGTATTTTCAATAGCAATCAACTACATTACTTATTTTCCGTTTATAAGTTGGCTTTTGAGACGACAGGTAGAGCTTACATCTCATATATATAATCTTGCATTTGTTACGAAAACCTACTTTTAAATAAAATATGCATTCGAATGAATGAAATAATTCCAAACAATATACTGTATATATATATATATATATAATTATATAATTTTACTAGAAATAGTAGCTTAAAAGCTATACAATATATATAGCAAATAAAATTTAGAAAAGTTGAAAAGAAAGTATGCTTGATGCAAAAATGAGAATTATTTATAAATTTTTAGAGGCATTAATTTATTGCACCTTAGGTATTCCTAGGGGAGTGAATATCATTAAATATATCCCAGCCATGTTGTCCTAAAACTTTAACAAATTACGAGAATTATATGTAAAATTAAAGATAGTTAGAAATGATAAAATTGGAAACATTAAAATTTTATTTATATGCATCCACCTACGTTGAAAGATCTTCGATAAAAAAGAAACTCTATAAAGGAACCAACACAACAAAATATTGTGTAGTCATGAAGTAAAATTAATTAACTGACAAAATAAAGGAGCTATAATTTACTTGAAAAATATAAGTTTATTGCATATTATTGAAATCTCAAGAAAAATGTTTTATTTGAAATAATCAGTTGAATCCATTTTTGTAGAAATCGACTATAATAAGAGAGAATAAAAATGCATTTGGCCCAATGCAAATGTAAATGATGCTAAAAATATGCTCACAGCTTAGAAAAATAAGTGAGATTCATAAAATCTAAAATAGGACGGATTTTAAGACGCCCTTTTTGACATGCAACCAATTCAAGTCGGTCTTATATGAACAAAAAAGAAGCCTATATGGGAAGCTGTTTAAGATCGCTAGTGTAGAATGAGAAAATACGAATAACTAATTTAGCCATAAGAGTTACAGATTTCTTCGCTCTATTTGGCTTGCGGAATTACGCTTTTTATCATTTGCTGAAAAAGGTTGCTTCATAAATACTTTTGAGCCTAAATGAAATGGACGATGCCCAAGAGAGTCAGATATAGCAGTAAGCTGGTTGGCCGGGAACATTTCGGTATCCAATAAATCTGACTCATTATGCTTGCAAAGATGTAGATCTGCTGTAGTTTCACTCTTCCTTCTCCAATCTGTGCCTAGGGGCTTGTCTGATAAAGGCCACCTTGGGGATTCTGTTTGGAGCAGGTTTTCAGCCGCGTAATCAATTGAATGCATGGAATTATTGTTAAAATTATTACGAAAATGAGGGCATTGAGACATAAACGACTTGGGACAATAATGTCCAACATTTTGCAAAGTGACCGAATCAGACAAAATACGAGTGTTCTCTGAGCTCTGCTTCGCGGCTAAAATGGTAGTAAAAAAAAGATTAAACTTAATATTTCTAAAATCTTAATGCATATTGTTAGAAAAACTATATATTAATGAACAATATTCTAAAATTTATAATAACTCAGCATAAGTCTTTTGAAAATAATTCCATAGAGCCGAGCAATAATAAGTTAGATAGATGCAGTTTAAGGATATTATCATTCAAAGTCTCGAGGTTATTGGAAGTATTATAATCTTGGTATTGTACATCCTGCAACCAGATAATGTCTGAAGATTACATGATATATTCATGCCATTGTTTTATTAGTAATGGTATCAGTAAGACGGATTTAAAGCCGAAGTTGCTCCAGCTGAATTTAATAAGCGTGAAATAAAATTTTTCGGACTACCGCTCTGACACAATAAAGAAATACGGTATTGCTTAACTCTATGCAAATATAATATCTTATAAAAATGTATGGCAAAACCATTCAATATAGAAATTGTTATTGCCATAGGAGAAATAAGGCATATACTTAAGGCATCTTTATTAAAACTAGCATTGGTATAAAAAATCGATGAATACTCTAAATGTAACTAAGTAAGGCAGAAAAACGCCTATTTAACGTAAATTTAACTTATTTAGATTTGCATAATAAGTTATATGCAGTTAGCACCTCGACTATATAATAGGTAAGGCACTTTTCTAAATACTAAATAATACTTGTTTTGGCAATCATTTCGACTTACCCTTATTTAAAAACGTAGTGGTTCAGCTGTCTAATACATTTTAAAGCAGAGCCAAACTGACTTACTGTTTTACTTTTCAATCAACACATCTTAATTACTCTGGTAAGTCACTTTCAAAAAATTAAATCGAAACTATCTAAAATAAATCATAGAACAAGCTTAAA